GTTGAGTGATGGACGTCTGGCGGATCTTTGAGCAACTTGCGAAGCAAGGCCTGTACTCGAATAAGAGCACTCGCAGCGCAGTCTGGTTATCGGTGGACAGATCAGGTTTGATGTCAATGTTGCTCATTGACTATTTCTGACGTGAGACAGTTGGTTACGTTTGCTACTTCGTGGGCAACGCTATCGAAGTGCCACGGAAAAGGTGTCGATGCTCGTTGCTAAAGTTGGTAACGAGTAATTCAGATCGGCCGTCACGAACGTGTATTACACTTCTCACTACACATATGCCTTGCTGCAGAAGGTGTTCTAAACTTGTCTCGGCCACCACATCGCCATCGCTCAAACCACAGCATGTTACGTCGACTAGAACACTGGCTCGGGGAGGAAGAGCCACGCTCTGCTCAGAAATACGGAGTACGTCAACACGCATTCCCTCATCCTGCACGTTGATTGCTCGCTGGGCTGAGAACGTGACGCAGCGCTCTTGCAGATCAATGATAGCTCCATTTTCCTGTAGAAAATCAACTCCCAGAATGACGTCCCGGGAGCATTCACGTAGAACAAGGCAGCTTGCTACGAATGTGTACCTTTGAATCTGTACGCTAGTTGTGCAGGCGCCCAGTGGAGTAACGACATGGCCACCAGCTGTCCGAATCTGCAAGTTATGCCACGGCGTAATTACTTTCTTCAGCTGCGTTGTCAGTTTCCCGCTCAGTATGGAATAGTCTGCGCCGGTGTCCACTAACGCATTAACTACACAACCATCAATTGTTACTGCTATGTCGAGTGAAAGCCGGCTATCCTTTGCAGCAGCAGGTGATGTCGGACCAGTTTCTATACAGTTCTGCGTCAATAGGAGGTCTTCAGCGTTTCGACGTTCAGCGACCCTGCCACCAGAGGTCGCTTCGGGTAGTTTTCCCGGCGGGGGCTGGGAGATCGTGCGGTAGAATACCGCTGGGGCGTTGATGAAAATCGCCTCGGTGATGGCGAGCGCGACTGGCGCCCGGCAGACGGTGGTGCATGCTGCTGGGAGAGGTAGTTTTGGATGTCGTGTGGTCTCTGATTGTAACGGGGTGGCGACGAGTACGCAGAGAAGCCGCGAAGCCCAAGACGGCGATAAGGGCACTGGCGGTACAAGTGATCAGCTTCTCCGCAGTGAAAGCATAGAGGTCGGTGATCGGGTGTGCGCCAGACATCAGACTTCCGAGGAGACGAGTGCCGATCGTCGATGACTGGACAGGTTGCACCGAACGATGGGCAACAGAAGCACCACGGACAAAGGTCAGAGGCGGTGGCGTGTACGTGCCTTCGTAGTATGGTATGTGCTGCGCTGACTTGAGTGAAACTGCAGGGACAGGATGAACGAACAATGGCGGCGATGCAGCAGGGCGTTTCAAGGCTTCCGCGTAGGTTGTCCCACGGTGGTATTCAGCAGGAGCTGACGCAGCTGTATCAGGAAGCAAGGTGTCCCGGAGGGCCTGGTGCAGCTCATCCTTGATCACAGTTGCAATAGAGCCAACCGTAGGATGAGGTGTTACACCAGCCTTTTGCAACTCTTCACGTACGATATTACGGATGAGTTCACGTAAGGAGTCATTGCTGGTCCCAGCGGCGGCGAAAATGTCAGCAGTGGACATGCCACCAACTTGCCTGTCGTATTGGTTTGATCGCTGCTGCAGCATTTTTTCCATTGTCACGGTTTCAGACAAGAACTCCGCGACCGTCTTCGGAGGGCTTCACACGAGGCCGGCAAAAAGCTGGTCCTTGACACCGCGCATCAAGTGACGCAACTTCTTGTCCTCAGTCATTCTTTAATCTGCCCGTCGGAAGAGACGCGTCATGTCTTCGACGTACGCGGTCACAGTTTCGTTAAGCGATTGGACGCGGGCAAGAATAGCTCGTTCAGCTCTTTCTTGGTGGTCACGATGGAATATGTCTGCAGAAGTCTACGAGAGAATTCAGGCCACGTCGTCAGCTGCTCCTCTCGGTTTTGATACCACGTATGTGCCCCATCTTCGAGATAAAAGTAGACACGACCCAGTTTCGCCGCGTCGTCCCACTGATTCAAGTTGGTTACGCGCTCGAAGTCCGCCATCCAGTCCTCAACGTCTTCGTGCTCCGTACCATGGAACGTCATCGATGCCCGTGGGCTTTCCAGCGTATAGTGGTTCGACGACGTGCTTCTCGTGCCGGTTGGCAAGGTTTGTACCGAAGTGCTGGTAATGTTTGTTGACGTGGTGGGAGCCAAATGATTGACTTCCGGAGGCAATCCCCTGATTCGGCGGCTGGTCCGACGCACGGGAGTATTGACTGGCGCTGGACTCGTATTACGGCTTCCTGGGGGGGTCCGCAGCATCTACCCAGCACCTCCACCAGTTTGTCACGATGAGTCACAAGTACTGGGGGATTTATTGAACGACCGGGTAGCTAGCTCTAGGACGATGCGTCAGTTGTGGCTGGCTTTCGAGCCGAGAAGAGGCACGCAATCTTCTTTCTTTCCTCCAGATGGTAGAGCCGCTCTTGCAGTTGACCCACTACCTGTGGGTGGCAATATTATAAAATAATCCAGTTTCGTCCACGTTGAACACATCAGACGGCTTGCATTGCCGTATCAATGCCTGCAGCAATACAGTCCCCTTTTCGACAGTGTCGAAGCTGACTGACAAGCTCTCTCCACAGCAGCGGCTGTACACAACTCCACTGCGTTTTTTAAAGCGATCGAACCAGCCATTGGAGGCTTTAAAGTCATCAATGCCGCAACGCAATGCAACTGTCTCCGCCTTCTCCTTCAATATTGCGCCATCCACGGCAATTTCTGAACTGCGGGCCTGACGAAACTACTCAACGAGGGCAGTCTCCATGGCAGCATATTTGCCATCTTTCGCGGCCTTCCTGTTCAGGCCGAACTTTGCCGCATTTAGCAGGATGCTGTCCTTCTTTGCGAGGATCATTTTCAGCAACGACTCGGGAATGTTCAGGTCTCGGGCAATGCTGGCCGTTGTTGCTCCGCTTCTCCGCCTCCTCGATTATGCGAAGCTTTTCTTCAAGCATCAGCGGTTTCCAGTTCCACGACATTGCGAGACGCAGCACTCGCAACCAAGAATTCGAAAGCTTCCTCGCACAACAATGTCCGAATACTGAAAATTTTGCACGTAGACGCAGCAGCTTTGGCGCACAACCCACCGATGAGGCAAACACATGAAGGAATGGCTGAAAGGCAACAAGGCAGTGGGCCCATTCGATTTTTGCAAGCGTGTACGTCTGCGCAAGCTTCGACCAATCGCAAGAGGCTAAAGCTCCCCAGCCCTCTGGTAGCTAGACAGCAGCTAGTTCCGGTTCCCGCGGCTGTCCCAAACGTAGACAGGCTCAACAATCGCCGTTCAACACGTCCGGTGAGACGCGAAATCTAGTGAAAGTTATCGCATACTAGAAAGCGAGCTCGAAATTGTCTGCCATGTTACCTGCTCACAGCTGTCACTACAAAACCACCCAAAAGAAGGCAGAAAAAACAAAAAAAAAGGCCCCAACGAAAGTGCGCAGTGCAATGTGACTAAGTAAAACGAATGCGCTCTGGCTGGCTCTGGACAATGTTGGCTCTGGCTAGCTATGGCCGACAGCGTGTCGAAAAATTGAAGAGGCCCTGTGGTGGCAGCGCGGATAGTTTGCTAGAATGTGCGGAGGAACAAACTCGGTTCCTCGGTTTCCCAACTTTTTTTCATCCGGCCGCAGTGTGCTTGCGTGGCAGCCTGCGTGCGTCATCGTAAGTTGTTTTTTTTTCTCGGACAGTCCAGCTTAGCGTCGTACGAGGCGGGGCCGGCGTAAAACTGCGTCGTAGAATTGAGGTTTTCAATACATTAGTTCTATGGGGGTTTTGCCGGGACCAAGCCAATTATTCGTAAAACGCGGGTCGTCGCAGGACCGGGGGGCGTATAATCGAAGTTCCACTGTATAACCCTTTCATCTTTACAGTTTACGTTTGGCGATCTTGTTGGCAGTATTTATAGTTTTTTTTTTTTTTTCGGCTTGGTTATTGATAGTTCAGCCTTTCTCTTCCGAGTTTTTTTTTTCTTTGTTGATTATTAAACCATGTTTGCTGTGCCACCCAGCGGCCTCTTAATCAATTGCCACTTGGACTCGCCCCCTAGATTCGTGAGAAAGCAATTAACAAGCCTGTGTCAGGATCAGAAAATCCCACAATTGTTTCTTCTCCAGCCCAGTCACTGACACTCGTAGAGTGTGGAGATCGATTGGGAGCGCCTGACGGCAGTAGCTAAAGACCTAGAAATGACTATGAAGGGGACTTTGAAGATGCCCAAAGATTACAGAATGAATGTACACACAACTTATTTAACAACTTCATCAGCCACTCCAGCAAGCTAAGCAACTACAACCCATCGCTTGCGAACCTTGCTCCCGTTGTGACAACATTAAGGTTACCAAGTTTCCATTTCAAAATCACCTTCAGTATCTAGATAATGTATGTGACAAGAGCTCCAACATTAGCAATTGCTAAAGGTCAACGCTTCATGCGTGAAACGACTGTGGCAGAGTTCCTACGACTTTAAAATATGTGTCAGCAAGTTTGCAGATATCTAAGCGAGGAACAGCAGGAAAAACTAGATTCATAAATAACCTTTTTGGGAGCGTGAAAATTTCGGTGTAGCCAACAAGGTTTCTCGTGGCCAGCCCTGTGCATAATCGGAGTAGCGAAACTCCCCCTAAATTCCATGTCTCAAAATCCAGACACGCCATATTGGCCGAGATAGGGGGGAGTGTGCCGATTGTCACATCACCTGGTTGTCAACAAACTAATAAATGCAACATTTTGTGTGTTGCGCTCTGGCTTCCAGATGGTGCAACAGTCTGCTAACCCCCCTGAAGGATCAGCGAAGTGCATGCCCGGGTTTGGGAACGCAGTTTTGCAACTGGTGTGATTGAATAACTGGTGCATTATGTCCTCTCCACCTCTGAGATCAAAGGAGCGCAACTCGTACACTTACTCTCCTTGGGCGCAGGAGGCTCCTCCTTAGCTGGAGAGACCGGTGGAGACGTTGTAGCTGCTGCTTCTTCATTATCTTCTTTAGGAGGCGGCGGTGTTTCCTCTTCACTGGCCTCCTTGTGATTTCCTTCTTCCGCATCATCAGCGGGTGGTGCACCATCCCTTTCTTCTTCACTCTCAGAGCTGAACTTCTTGCGTTTTATCTTGCGGCCGCTGCGACTAAGACTGGGAGTAGCTTTGACAGAGGAATCCCTAGACCGGGAGCCCTGAGAGAGAGAGTAGCCACCACATAAGAGACACAATGTGTGATTACAAGTGCCGTCCATATAGATATAACCTCATTACAACCAACCCAGATATAACATAACATCGGTTATAACGAAGTAAATGAATAGTCTTGCAATAGTTGTAGTGTTAGGAATATACTTTTATAAAGAATTTTCGGATATAACAGTTATTTCTGTGTATGATGTACAGTTAAACCTGGATATAACGAAATTAATTAATTCCCGGAAAAACTCGTTATCAAGACGATTTTGTTATATGCAGGTTCGGTACAAAAATTTGAAAAATAAAAGCGCAAGTTAAATGAAACGGGGACTGAAGGCAAAGCAAACCCTCCTTTTACAGTAAAAAAACTGCATTACTATCACGATAGCAGTTATATGGACACTCGGCGGGTCTTTGCCGTCACCACCGTGTTCCGTAAAAAGTGCAAATTGACAACATGCCCCCCTGCATCATAACTTTTACAAGCGGGTAAAAGCGCACGAGCGCTGCTAAAGCAGAGATCAAATGAGTCGTCCCATACCTATCGCCTGAAAAGAGCATAACATCTCCTGCCGTCGAATGTTCAAACAGACAGTAAACCACCTGTCTTGAACGAGCATGAAACAACGCAAAAGGTGGGGGCGGGATCGCTTGAGTAGCAATAATGAACGTGAATTTCAAGGGCGGTTGTGATCGCTGGAGCGCTTGCTGTTTCGGCGATTATCAGTGAGGTTTCAACGCGAATCCGCGATATCGCATCCCTGCGAAAAATGCATGCTCATACCAAAATGCAGAGCAAACTTCCTAGATTGTCGGTGGGGAAAATTCCTGATACTAAGGTTGTCTCCCGCGGTTACTTTTTACATGAAGGTCGCAAATAAACGTGCTTCTATGGAGCGATGGAGGGGAATAAAAAACTTTGCTATATTGAGGAATTTGTTCCATGGAGGTTCGTTATAAGCAGGTTTAGTTGTACACGCAAACCTCATTATACTCTTTAACTCAAGCCACATTGTAATAAAGTCACATCAGCCCCGAAAATACTTCGTTATGTCTGAAAATTCATTATAATATACTTGCCAGTAACCAGACCAGCCAGACGTTCTCTGACCTCCAGTTACACATTTCTGTGACCTAACGTTACAATACATTGACACTGTATCTATGAGAAAGCTATTCTTCACTTACTTCGTTATGACTGATAACTCGTTATATAAATGAGCCTCTTTATATGAGGCATGCTCCTGAAAGCAAATCTTGTCCTTTATGCGAGATGTCTCTTATATCAGTGTCTCTTATAAAGGGGTCCCACTGCATCTGGGTTAGTTATATCGAGGTTTGAGTGTTATGACAGCAACACTAGACCTCTCTCCGTTTGTAAACAGTGTGACGTCACTGGGGGCATCCTGCCCCCTACATCCGGAGCAGGTGCTGGTTGGCAAGAAAGCTGCTCCGGCGGCATCTTTATGCATAGCAGAGTTGCGTGTCTGCATTCTTTCGACAGAAATTTCAACATTTCTACATTCTAAAGTCACAGCTTCTGAAAGAAGGGGGTCGCGGAAGGGTCACTGCTCACAGTGTGGGAATTAGCTCGTTGTAATTGGACGGATTAAGAAATTTTGTTTAGTACTGAGAGACGCGGCTAGTACGCAATGGGCTTCACCCACGTAGATGGCAGCCATAAAAAAAATCTGATCTTTTTCAAAAGCGAACGTATTGATAGTACACGATTACTGGCACTTTGAGAAATATTTGCATGGCATGGATGTAAACTTACTCAATTTCCATCGTGGCATGTGCAATGCAGATTTAAACGAGGTACAGCAATGGCGGCAGCATGGTTTTGAGCTGCTGTGTGCGACGTCACGGATAAAATTCTCACTTATTGCCCAAAAGTCTCTTCAGAGATGAATGAAAAAAAAAAAAACACTTCTTGCTGTGGGTTAGGCTGAAGTTAACATATCCTCGTGAAAATCAAAGTGAAGTTCCGCGACGGCGTTTCTCAATAACCCAGTGAAAATTCATGTGATGTAAAACCCGACGTCTTAATAATATATAATATTATCTGGCACAGTTACTTTGCTGCATTTGACAACTATAGCTTGTTTTCGTACTTATCCCTCCTTTAGGCCTGATACACAAACTTCTAACGCACATTGTCACACTTCTAACGCACATCATAGCCGTGGTGGAGCATATATGCATATATGCTCCACCACGCTACTCATGCGTAGTTGTATATATCACTAGGAGATCATGCATTTTTATTTTTCTGCACGCCGCGCATACGCTCAGTACCCACTCACAGATGATCGCTTCGAATGTATTTTTACCTTGACTAAAATGTCGGATCGTAAAGTTCCATCGACAATCGGTTACTGAAACTGGCCTACAACGAATACCAGTGTTTTCACAAACAGGACGCATCGCATTATTCACACTGCACACATCACGCACAATATTCCCAGTTTCACCGTCCATAAAGATGAACCAATAGTCAATGCCTTTCAACGCACACTACATGCCACAGTCAACACTGCACATTTTCGAAGAAGATGCCGCTGTTCCTCGCACAGGCCGCCACGTGTGTTCACTTCTAGTAGATAAACAGCCAGCTAGCTTGGCAAACATTTCATCACGCACTTTATCACACACCAAGACGTTCTCTGACACATGCCACAGCTAATGTTGCCACTGTGAGATGAAGATTAAGCTTTCAACAAGAAAAAAAAATTGCCCCAAGCACCGAGCGACTGCACCGCACTCAGCCACCGGCGGGAGTGTTTTGCCAACCACCGCCTTGCATGTGCACCGGTGACATCACGCTGTGACGTACTCCGGAAGAGGTGTATTGTTGAGGCTTCACATGCCAAAGCCACAATACGATTATAAGAGATGCCGCAGCAGATGGCTCCAGAAATTACGACCATCTAGTGTTCTTTAATGTGCATCTAAATTTAAGTACAGTAAAGCCATCATATAAAGAATTCCTCGATATAACGAAGTTTTTCTAGTCCCCACCATTATTCCATAGAAGCACATGTATTTGCGACCTATATAACAAAGTTACAGTGGAAGACATCCTTGATACATAAATTTTCCCCCCGGACAATCCCAAAATTTTGTCACGAATTTTGTCATTTTGGCGCGGGTATGCATCTTTCGACAAACTTCCCACGGTTTTCAATCCCACGGTATTCAGGTCGGCAGTCGAGCATCATAACCACTAGACAATCACAGTGGGTGGCTACGGCTATGAGTGTGCTGCCGCTCGAACTCAAGAAGCATGCAATAAATTCATAAAAGACGATTTACTGGAAACACACTGAAACGAGCTTGTAACGAAAGTTCACATGTGCTTTGGCGAAATGTCTCACCCGTCTTTTCGGAGTTTCCTGTTCGCCAGTTTTCTGATCATCTACCGAATCCTAAAAGATACAAAGAAACAAACAATTCAAGTTAGTATAGTGAAACTTTCAGGCTTAGTTGAATTCAACAATGAGATAGAAGGTGCACTAAGGTTGTGAAGCAAGTTGCATTAAAAAACACTGTTTTCATTAATTCAAATTTTTTTTGTCTTGAGTCTTTCACAACTGCCAAGAGCAAAAAAAATTATTTTCTACAGTCCCACAAGTTCAATGACTTTAAGCATTATGCCGCCTACTTATCACAAAGACTTTTTTTTTTTCTGTATACAGCAGGCCACTACATAGCCCCCATACGAGTAAGCAAAATAGAAATGAGTATAGTTAAAGGGGTACAGACACCATTTTTCGGAGGCTAGTTCGCACTATGATACAAATCTCCATACAGAGGCAGCTCTGAGCAAATGCAAGGATCGACGAATGCTACTATTTTATTTTGATATCGAAGTAAATCTTCCCGTGGCACCACCCTACAAACATGGGCACTAGCTTGACGTCAGGCTAGTTATGATGATGTCAGGCACCAAGACTTCTAAAATGGCAGCTTGTGTGTCACCAACGGCCGTGCAAATGGCATGATATTTTGCCCGAACCGGTGGTGAGAAGCTCATACTATGTTGTAACGTCAGGGTACAGTAGGAACTGAAACTAACCTCCATATGCACATGTATTTGTGACTTCTATGTAACAAAGTAACCGCGAGCGACAACTTTGACATAACGAATTTTCCCCAGAAACAATATAGGAATTTCGCCCCGGATTTTGTCATTTTGGTACGAGCATGCAACTTCCGCAGGCGTCCAGTCGACGACTAAGCATGAAGCGGTGGCGGCACAATCTGTGCCCGCGTGGCCCAGCAACAACCAGGCAAGAGCAAGCACTCGTTATTGCACACGAGTTCACTTTGTCGATGCCTTTTGCTGCTTGTGGTTATTAAATATGTCAAGAGTGCTTTGCAATAGTAATTCCCATAATTTGACGCTTGGTGTGGTCCTACGATTTTGCCATGTCATAATTGTGCGTTAAAGGGACACTAAAGAAAAGCAATGACTTGCTTTAGAATGATAAACCGCACTCTGAGAACTTGCATTCGACATTTTTCACCATCACAAATTCATTACTAATGAATACTAACAGAGAAAATCAAGGTCGAAGTTTCGTTTTTAAATTTCGCATCAAAATCTTCACGCAAGACGTAACAGAAAGAAAGTATATTTCATATTTTTGCAACATTGGCTTGATGAAATTTTCTGAAATTTGAAACTTCATATGCTAGATCTACGGCTTCTACAGTTCACAATGTAATTCAATTTTATCATTTATAAGCTACCTAGGACCCAGTAGAGGCCTTCAAAATTTATGAAATCACATTGTTTGGTGCAGGAACCTCGAGGTGGCATCTCCCCTTTCATTTTCTTTTCGCGCATTCTCTCGCATACGAAGTGTCGTGTCGTAGCGCTTGTGCGTCACCAAAACATTCAGAATTCCCGCTTGTGAGTCACGGACAGCCATGCAAATGTCACGATATCTTGCTCGAACCGGTGATTAGAAGCTCATACCATGTTGTGACGTCACGGTACAGTAGGAACTGAAAGTGGTGCTCTTGGGATTGTTAAATTGAACTTTATTAATACACATAAAATCCTTTTGATCTTTTGTGTCCCTTTAAGGAGACTCCACCACTACATTAAAATTTTGTGGCATTCTTTTTACGAATAAGTTCTAAACACCTGCCCAGCTCTGTGGTGGAACACCTGGGTGAAATTGCCCCTCTAACCAATGCTTCATTATTTATTTACTTGTATTTATCAAACTTTCTATCACTGACAACACTGTTTCACTCTTAACCAATATCACCGACACACCGCCACTATTGAAATTCTGTGGCATGGACTCTCGAACTTTACCATGTTAATAGGTTACTATAGGTTGTCTGGTGAATGCTAGGCACAGTCCCTTTGAAGTTTTTCTTTGCTCTATAGCTGCACACGATGGTCCAAGAGCATAGCACAGCAAGGAGGCACACAGGCTGTGAGGTTCGAAAACGTACCAAGTAGTGGCAGCATTTCGATGACAGTGAGCACAATTTATTAGGCCATTTCATCACTAACCTCATACACATCTGCAGGCCACGATTACGACACGTTTCCAGATGTTGCATGCTTTCGTCACTGCCTCTAAGATCAGGTTGTGCAAGGCATTTCAGAGGCAACATTTCGGCACATTTAGGTGCAATATCGTGCCTTATTAGGATGGTGCAGGAAATGTCGTTAGGCTCAATATGGCGCAAAAGTGGGAGAACTGAGAATAAAATTTGTGGATTTATCAACTCAATAAAAGTGTGCTGGCATGCTAGACACATGCACATTTTTAATGCCCTCGATAATTCGATAGTTTTGATGAACTTCGGCTTTAACATGGCAAAGTAAACAAGTTTTTACAGTGGCTAACGATTTAATCTCTATAATCCTAATATTACAATCACCAAGATGCATTCGCAGGTCTACAGTGAAGCACATGGTCAAGCCAATTTTATTCGTCCCTTCCATCCCACACTTTCATAAATACAAAGCAAGTAAAATGTTGGCACTCTACATAAACCAGGAAGGAAGAGATAGCATCCTACCTTTGATGCTCTTTTGGTGGCCCTTTTCTTTACTGACTGTGCCTCTGGCTTCTTGAAAGGAAACATGAGAAAAAATTTTGTCATGTATAGTCCTCGTACATGTACAGTAGACTCTCGCTAAACAGAACCTGAAGGGACAAGGAAAATGTGTTCCGCTTAATGGGAGTTTCGTTTAGCAAGAGATAAATAAGGGTGGATAATTAAGCTAGGAACCGATCGCGCTGTAGTAAGTTTAGGCAGCAGTTCCGCTTAGCTTAGCGAGGGTCTACTGCGTAGCATGCACACACACACACACACACAGACATCTACCCACAGAGGAAGGAAGAAAGCTGGAGGGTGGTTTTTATTAAGGTACCCACAGCAAATATATGCCCGCCTTAAGACAAGATTGTGTGAACACAGTAGATTGTCATATACTTGCATGCAATGACATTCTGCCGAGATGACCCAACAAAATGTGCAGCATCATGCTTTAGCAATAAACATGTGCTTCAAAATTCGAAGTTTATTCCAATGATGGTAATGCTTTTTGTTATTTGTGCTCGGTTTTGTTAATATTGATTAGCCGTGATGTGACTGGCTGACGCTATTTCAGAGCAGCCAAAAGTGAGTCTTGGAACAAGTAAAAAGACTTTTGGAGCAGCTAGAAGTGCACTGTCAAATAGAAAAATTTAGTTTAACACAGCTAAAAAGCCAAATAGGACAAAACTCAGCAGCATCCTGTAACCTGCCATGCACTTACCAGCTCGGACCACTTGCAACGTAACTGCCTATAGTGCAAAACCAGATACAAAGCTATCTTTCCTTACCCTAATGCATTCTCGCACAGCATTCTGTGTATATGCATAGATATAATTGCACAGCCCCCCAAGAAGACAGGCAAAGAGCTCACTTCTCAACAGTGGTGTGCCAGCCATAGAGAGAAAGCGATGTAGTTACAAAGGGGTCACTGAGCTAACTGATGAATGGAGTGGGAAGAATCGAGGGGAAAAAAAAGCTGCACCGTGCTCACTTTATGAGGAAGGGCTATCTGAGCACCAGAAATACCTTTACTCCATTCACCTGCATCGTCACAGCACAGTTTTTTTTTCTTTAGTGTTATGGTGCACAAATATCAGGCATGCGACCTCAATTCCATCATCGGTGTTGTGCAGATACAAATTTGTGGTGCCGAATTATGCAGCTCACAAAAGCATGAGGAACTGGACAAAACGTGAAGTGTCCTGTGACTAGCGCTAACAGCCCCTTCCAAATCTCGATACGCTTTCCTGCAGGACACCAGTGTACTACGGTGAAGGTGGCTTAGGCAACAGTCTCTGCACAGGTTAGAATAGTAGCAAAAAAATTTTCTAACTGCTGCACCCCCACACCCCACTTCCTACACTTTTATATTTCTTTCACCGTGGGGTTAGGTGCCACTTCGACTCGCCGGCAAAGCGCGTTCGACCAGGTAAAGTAACGACGACACGCGTCCGTTGGCCTAGCCACAGTACCGAATATCTATCTCTAGGACCGTAGCCTAGGCAACAAAAGTTTAAGACAAAAAAAAAAAAGAGGTTGCATGTGCCACTAATAAGGCTGGCAACGCCGGCGTTCGCAGCACGTCAACCTTGTTTGCACGAGAAAAATGCGGCATACGCTACTGGTTTTAATTCCTAACAAGCCACAGCCACGTTTTCAGGCTAGGAAGTTTACATTTGCCGCAAAGCGTTGGTGGCTACAACAACGCATTTTTTTCTTGAAGTTCCGTCATCCTGCCGATAGGTATCCGCAACGGTCAGCGGATCGATGGGCACGCAGCGTTGTTACTTCATCTGGTCGATCGCGTCTCGCAAGCGTAGGGCGGGAGCTTATAATATCTCAAGTACATTCTCGGCCCTACAGTTAAAGTCTGCATGCTTTGACTGATGGCGCAAACTGCAGGTGGCCAACGTGGCCTGTATTTCTCACTGAAATTAGCCTACATGAGAAAATTTTGAGCCCTGCTGGGCATTTTGATGCAGTGTGGTGAAATTTCAGTGAATTTCAATCAAGGGTTTTGGCACAGCTCAGCACAACAATAGGGAATCGCGTCTAATTGGCGTGCCTGTGCCAAGTGCCTGTGTTCATGCAAACCTCACTCATTTTACAATATTGACACCAAAGGTGAATATCACTTTGTACCAATGGCCCAAAATCATTCTGTATGATGATGACATAACAATGAACTTGTGCATACAAGCAAGCACAGCAGCACGAACACACACAGAAAAAAGGACATTTAAACAGCACAGGCACTACACTCATCCTGTCAGCGTGTCTTTCTTTTGCGTTTCTTCCGCTGTGCTTATCAATATAGATAAGATTTACACACACTAACTAATCGAAACTTCTGTTCTGAATAGCATAACAACAGCTTTATGAAGTACCAAGTTCTTCACTATTTCCCAATTCTCACGCTTCTGTTTTGAAGTGAGGCACTGAGCTTAGAGTAGCATACTCATAGTAACATGCATGCAGTAAGGCTAGTTGGTGCCTGCTGTCTTCTCAGGCATGAACTTGTAAGGCTCAGGAAGCATGTCAGGCACTGAGGATATGTTGAAGTGAGCACACACTGCCGGGAAATAAAAGTGGAGCAACCAAAATGGAGAGAGAAGTGAGGTTGGAGGGAAGGAGGCCAGCATGCATAGGTAGGCAGCAGCCAATGGGGCCTCACATTTTTTGATGGCTTTTCGTCAATGACCAATTCAGATTCCTCCTTCTCCTCCTCTTCTTCATTTTCGGGTGGTGGCGCATCCTGAACTTCTTTTTTCACTGCAGCTTTGCTGCCAGACCCCTGATGACAGGTGGGGACAACGTATTGACGGCCAGTGCTTTATTCCACAAGACATCGCGACTCATGACTATTTCGTCACTATGGACAAATGTCATCATCCCACATTGAAAATTTCAGGAGACCAGAAGCTGAAATGTGGGTCACAGCTGCTCGGAGCAAGCACATGACTATATTGCTCTGGAAACTATTTGGAGATCACTAAGTGCAAAAGTCAACATTCCTGTGGCTTTGCGAACAATCCTTCCATAACATACACTCCTTAATCGTAACCAATTTAACCAAAGCAAACTTTGATTGCGGTTAACATAGCCCCTAAACCATACTTGTCCTATCACTTAGCCCCAATGTCACCACAGACTGGCCGCACTTGCAAACTTAGCTAATGCCATGCATATGAGCTTCAATGTTTGAATATACTTCGCAATGCTTACAATGTACTTACAAAAAGTACGTATGTACCATATTTGTTATAGCTGGATAAATTAATTTGCAGAAAAAAAAAGAGGCAAGTTTTTATGCAATTTTAAGAAATAATCTGGCAGCTTGTAAAGCTGCCAGATTATTTCTGGCAGCTTACACATTATAACCCGTAAGGTTAAAAACATAAATTAGTGTAGCTGTGCACATGATACCAATATTATAGTAGTAATACATAATAAGTTCTGTGTATGCAAAGCACAACAGATTTGCAGAAGAGCTATTTTACTTACCCCTAAACCGGGTGGGGTGACAGTGGGATTGTTCTCTATTTCCCACAGACCTTCATTGAAGAACTTCCTCTTTTGCTGTTGGCCGTACTTGTCCTTAAAATCCTTGTAGGCAAACAAGTCCTTTGGGCCAAGAGTCGCCCTAAGACATCAACAAACGGAATCAAACAGGGAACCAGTGCACATTCTACAAACAAGCTGACCAAATGAGTAGTACTTTATCATTACTGTCATAATCCCTTGCACAACATTTTGCAGCATTCAATGAAACTAAGAATCGGAATGACAAAAAAGTGTGCTTTTAATCAGGCCAGCATTCTCACATACAACTCAAACCTCGAAATGCCTGCCAATGAAACAATGATTGAATATGGCAAATTTCGAACGGAGTCTGTGTGCTCACAAAAAAAAAAAGGACATCCACCTTTCAAGATTTAGTTTATGTTACAATCATTATCAGCACTGGTATATTGGGCTGGCCTGTAGTAATCACAATGCTTCTTAAGTGCCTCCTATACCTAGTTAATGACAGCAACTATATATATATATAGCATCTCTCATAATCATATAGTGGTTTTGGGGACGTTAAACCCCACATATCAATCAATCAGCAACTATATATTGCCACTTGTACTGCACCTCAGTGTACCACGGTGTTTGCGCATCCAAGTTGGTGCCACATGGCAAATCTGCAGCCCCTCAAGGCACGCTGCTGAAAAACGGTTTTCATTGCTAGTGACACAGAGTCTCATAGTCTTGCTTTGAGCATACAAAGTTTATATGCCAGTCTGTGCAACTGCCTCCTGAGAAAGCAAACTGAGCAAGATGTGTATGGCCACATGGTATGCTTTATACGAGAAAAAAAGGGTCAGTGAATGTTTTCAATACATTGAGCGAAGACGAGGTAAGCCCAGAAGATCACACAAGCTGTCAGAAGCTATCGCATCCCAGCCATAATCACTACTACTGGCTCGGTCGGCTGCCTCTGGTCATTTTCGGCATGAAACGGTGCCCATTTTGAATTCAACTTATTAAAACAGGCAAACCGAAATGCCTCTGCAGGTGCAAATACACTCAGAAAAACACAAAATAGAAACGCAAAGCATGCAAGGTCACTACTATGACCTTTATTATTGAATAAGTAAAACAGTGGATAATATAAGAGTGAATGAAGTTCAGTCTTCCTTCCCTTCAATACGTTTTGCCCCAAAATGTAAGCACTGAAACACCAATACATAACTTGCAAGCGACGTCAGTTCCTGTCTACCGCCCGCCATCACCATGCTCACTCACCCAGCACATACGTCTCAGTGACCACACCATGTTTAAGTTTGTGCAACGGATCGTTCGGCGTACTGTGCATGTTTTGATGATTTGCCTTGTCTTCATGACTGAGGAGAATCGTTCAGGACATTATGCAGCCTGCATCAAAGCTATGTTGACTGGAGAACTCGGGTCCTCCTCGTCTACAGAGCCCACGTAATGAGCGAAACAACTTCACATGAGATGTAGAAACATAACTTGCCCGTTATAAAATGACACTCGCACGCAAATAAATTGTTCAATATCCGGAGGTCCTTCCCGTTTATATGCCCATAAGCCATATGCTCCGCTTCTCAGACAGCTCTTTTGTGCAGTCGCGCGTGTTGGTGGTCACCCTTGGCAAACAGCACCTCACCGCATCAAGTCTTTTTTTTTTTTTTTAATCTGATTTACCCTTCGCATGCTGCAGTCAAATTTCCTGAAAATTGCCACTGCAGCATACGGCGTTGACAGCAAATGCAAGAGCCGCACAACTTGACCCAATGCCTTCTGCTCCCATGTGCACGGCAATGGCAGCTCATACAGAGATTGTTTCTTAGAGTTCCACGATGTAGTACTTGCCAGTTACGTAAATGATGGGTCAGTTTGGTTGAAGAGCAATCTTCAAGACAAGGTACGATGATTCTTCATTTCAAATAAGCCCTGCAGTCAGCCTTCACTAATGAAAAATTCAGTAGGTCAGGGTGTGCAGCTTCAAGACAGTGTCGACGCCAAATATCTATTTTCTCGTCACTGCCTTACAGGCCCTTTCCCATGCAAGGAGTGCTCTTTGCTGCACCTAAGGACAATACTCCTCCATAGTGACCATTCAAGTTCAGCTGTCAGTCATTTTTTTATTCATGCAGCTCAAGGAACATGAAAACACTAATATTTGTTAGAGCTTGTAATAGACACCTTTAATAGCATCACAAAATAATCTTAGATGGCTACTGTTTCAAAACACCACTTTCTATTGATTTGGCACAGAGAGCAAAGAATTCACTATTACTGGAGAAATTAAGGGTCCAAGCTTGGAATCTCATGTGAATATACCAGTGTGTATACCACAAATTGCAAAGTATTTGCCTTATGTATTTTAGGGAATCTCACCTTAGAGTGACAAGTTACAACATAAGTTACAACATACATCACAGCAGAAACACAATTTCTTTTAAATACGGCTAGCTCAATGCATCTTTTTTTTTTATTGTCACCTCTTAGATGAACACTGAACCCTTAAAATCTGAAAACTAGAACTTAATAAGAGCTGCACACGCAACATGAATACCACACGAGACATTTCTAATCGACCAGATTATCTGTCCTTGCAGAATTTTAAAATAAAAGTAATTTTGCTCAATTGCAATTTCATAAATGAGCAGAATAAACTGGATGCATGCATTCTACAAATATTGCACAAAACTTTTGAACAAACCAAGAGCATGAAAAGTGAAAAACTTACGTTTCATATGTGCCGTAGAAGAGTACTGAGTACTTTTGGGCTTTTGGCTTCGACTTATCTCCAATGCAGTCTTCGACCTATGTGGTAAGATAGCAATGCATTGCAATCAGACAACACGCTTATGCTGAACTTGTAGGTGCACCTTAAGACACAGTACAACCTTACAACCGAGCAAGGTTGCCCTCTTTCTTCTTTCTGCTCGTTCATAACATTAAGTAGAATTGCAATCAAGGATTTGTTCGGTGACAGGACTTTATCTACTTCATTTTTCTTTATCTACTTCTACACCCTTAAGGGGCAAGCTGTTAGCTGGGAAGAATAATATCACTGCACTTCACTAAAGCAGCCCTTCGAAAATACTGCTAAAATACGGCGATTTCACATACTGTACCAGTATGATGGTCATTCAGTTTAGCTAGCAAAACCGGGGCGAAAACAGCATTAGACAAATTCCCGGCTTAAGCCTATCCATTTCTGTGTTACCTTTACAACTTTCCCTCTCCACACTTAATTCTACCAAGCTGCAACTACAGTTAATACCCATGGTGTCTTTCTGATTTTAGCTAGAATCACTCGGCAACCAGCAAAAGAAGAAGACATGATGCAAAACTCCTCTCAAACAGGCCGGATGCACGTGACCACGTTCATAAAAGACCAAGTTCTCAAACAACTTGCCCTGCTCAGCCTTCTTAGCGATCGAAAGATATGAGCACCATTATCCTCAACCTATCCTATGCCTAATGCAGGACGAAGGCTCTTCCCAAGAATTTGCAGTTCACACTGTGCTGCTGGAGACAATTCTATTTTATGCTTGCAAACTTCATCAGCCTTGCAGCGTTCGGCTGCATTTCTCATCTTTTGGCATCTATTACACCGCTGAAGCTGCCTCTTCGAAGGATTGTGACTAACCCAGGTCCATTTCTTTCCATTGATGTGAACTACAACATCTATCTCTCCTTACTTGTTCTCAGACCCATGCTGCTGTCTTATCTCTCAATCCTATGCCTATCATTTCCCATACCATCATACACTGTGTGGTCCTTCTCAAGATTGTTTTAGAGTTTTTGTTGTCTTCAAACTTTTAGCTCCATATGCTGATAAAGTAAATATACAGCGATTACACACTTGTCACTTCAGGGACAGCATTAGGTCACCTGTCACATTTTGGGAATGTCTTTCATACACCCTCTAGCCCATAATTATTCCCTTCAGTGAATTACGTTTTCATGAGCAGACTTTCCTGTTAGTACCCACCTAGACGTGCGTATTCTTGCACATATTCCGGATGCCAGTTGCTCACAGTGAACGCTTCAGCTTTTGCCAGGATACTGAGCATTATCTCGGTTTTCAACACCCTCAGTTCTAGCCCTACTTTGGTTCTTTAAAGCAAAACTGCTACTTTTCCAAATTGTATTGCTTTCACAGTTTTGGCCCTTAAATTGTATCATCAAACCAAAGATATATGAATAAATAGACACCAAAACCAACCTCACATTTGCCGGTATCAAAACTATGGATTTGCAAGTCGGATGTTGTGCGGAAGCAGTGCTAGCAGCCCTTTTATGTATTACACACATACACGTCTACCATGAAAGGTCACACACACACACACACACACACCAAGAATGTCTCGCAAAGAAATTTATAAATCTAACTAGTCTTGATGATCCCATGCCACAGCATGCAAGCCACAAATGTGCTTCACTAACTCTCCCGTGCACCACTGAGCATGTCTTATTTTATAAAAAAAAAACGCACTTTGGATTAAATATATGCACTTAAGACAAAACAATGTTACTGACAATGACTGCCATTAAACAGTGTGCATCTTTCAGTTGTAGTTGCTACACACTTATCGATCTTTTCATACTTTAATGATGTTGCCTCGTGAGCGCACACCACGAAGGGAAATTTTAAACATGCTACCATTCGAATCGCAACTCCTGAATGTTAGCCGATTCCTTCCATGATTCAGGTTTCCCATGTTAGCAAGTAAAAAAAGGTTGTGAAGCCAAGTGCGATACTATGAATTCAAGTGTTAAAGAGGCTGCTGTCTCCCAATGAGAGCTCAGGCGGACCGGTACAAATCGCACCAACGAATAATGCAACGTGCAGCAACAACACGGTCCCAACCTACGTGTTTCAAGCGACTTTTGAAGCCATGCTACGATCTGACAATAAAGCATAGATTGTATGCCGGCTTTGTGGAGCTCTTAATGAAGGGCAGGCATTGCCGTAGCTTGCGCATTTATTGGCAGTTTCCTGTAAGCAACGAACGCGGGGAAATCGGGCGAGAACCGGTAAAGAAAGAACAGGGGGGCTCGTCGGTAAACCGGACTTCTACAATTACTGCAACCGTGTTCTACTCGGGAACATGGCCTGTCTACTACCGCAAAGGTTAAATAAAAATGACAACCGCAAGCTCCGTTCAGTTGCTGCAATATAACGGAATCACTTACCCTAGCAGGCCACGGCGGGTACCCGCGTACCTTGGCGAACACGCGATCTCCAACGTTGAACGACATCGTAAACGGCAAAGATGGGCGTCCACAACTGGACAAGCGTGTGGCCGATCAATAACAAGCTTGTGTATATCACTAGCCACTACTCGAGAGTCGTGCTTCGTACCAGCAACTGCGCGCCACAGCTACCGAGTGCGCGGCGCAGGTTCCCTGGTAGGCCTAATCCCGCTAAAATACAGGCGAGCAATTGACAACTCTAGCGTGGGAGAAGGCGCCAAGCCGGTAGGACAAAAAATATATTTTTTTAACGAACAGTCGCCGCAAACCAAATAAATGACGCCGCTTTTTTTTTTTGCAAGTTACTTTTCCCAGTCGTTTTGTTGCGACACTCCACCGCAGATTTTAAACGGAGAGAGAGACACACCGGGGACGCGCTGCGCGCGCGCCATTGCAAACATTTAGCTTCGATGGTGATCGCACGATAACCCGAAGCTTCGAATAAGCTTGTGTCACTGCACAGCAACTTTCATGCGATCGAATCATTTCACACAATCTTTGTCATTCGTACAGATGGACTTTTTCAACCCAGCAATGTTCCGTGCGCGTCGCTTTACCTAGAAGATAAGGCAGTTTGAGCTCTGCCTAAATACGATACGCTATTCTTGGCTAGCACACAGTGGCGGGTTAGCGTGTTACACATGCGCAGTGACGATCAACGCTAATGCTAAGCTCTGTCACTCCGTGTACCCACCCTACTCTGCTACGGTGTTCCAAATTGGCAGCTCTCCAAGTCGTTTAGACTTGTTGAAGGGTGTTTTTCAGTGCGAAGACCGTACACCAGTTCAAACAGAAGCACACAATAAACCAGACACAGTTGACGTGATGAAATGTTATATTTATAGCTTCTTTCAAATGGAAAGTGACAATATAAATACTCTGTACACCATCCGTATTAAACAGTCACTTTCTATGGCTTGTTTATTTCAGCACTGCAAAGAAACATTTCAACTGTTTCAAGGATCCAATGAAAAATTTACAAACATCCAACAGCATGCGAGTGCTGCTGATGTGATGAAACATGCAAGCCAGCTTGCAAGAGAGCTGTAGCGGCAAAAAGGAAAATGGCCACGCTCCCTTCCACCTGCAAGCTGGCTTATTCAGTGTGCAGGCATGATAATACACAGCTTCTTCAGGATGGTCTCTTGCTGGAGTTTTACAGCTTCTGTACACCCCCCCCCCCCCCCCCCCAAGGCCGCTGCTTTAAATCCCTAGTCCCCACCCACTGTACACTCTCCGCACCGGACACCCTTCACGAGCGGACAGAAGGTGAAGTCCGGAAGCGTCGGAACGGGTGGTAGGGTGGCCGTGAACAGTCTTGGAGTTGGATGCAGTTTGTTGTACATTCGTAGCCAAGACCCAACAGCCAGTCCTCACATAACCTGTTTTGCTCAATGTCCACATTCTTTTCCAGCCAGACCTGGTGCCACTTGTTGAAGCTTTGGTGCATCCGCTGAGACACTTTCCGATGAGACTGCACAAATAAGCAAAGAAAGATTATCAGTGACACCTTGCTTAGATTATGCTGCAGTAGGAATCTACACACCATGTTGTCGCACCCGAGGTTCCGTAATGCTTTCTAAGTTCGTTACCCTTACCAAATCAAACTTTCACAGTATTTGAACAGCACGTCAAATTGAGCAATCAACAGTGAAATTTTTGAGGCAGCATATACTTTCTAGCATATAACCCACATCAAAAATGAAAAAAAAAGATGGGCTTAAATATACAGTTGCAAGTTATGCATGAATGTGCACTTCTAATTACTTTTTTTTCTGTGCAAGTTAAAGTAGCAGGTATTATGCAAGAAAATATGGTATGTGCAAAAATTCCAGCTGATGCATTTTTCCTAGAAAGAGCATTCAAAGGGGCCCTTGAAACACTTTTTTGAGTAACCATGAAATTAATTCACTGGAAAATCATATTGCCTCAAAAAATCAACGCTGGAAAAATTATAAGAATCTGTTCAGTACGAGTGGAGCTACAAAGGTTTGTCACACGCTACAATCACATTCTTTTTTTCTCATTCTCTTTAAAATCTTTTGAATCGGTTCATTACGAGCTGAAAAGACAGTTTTTTTATTAAGCGGCGCGAACAGAGGATGAGAGAAGGAGAGCTCGAAACACTTACAGCCTTCGGAAGCCAAATCTCTTTTCTACCCTCTCCAGCATCCGACCAAGAAGACACGTGTGCATGACGTGCCCCAACAAGCCAAACCCCCGTGCACGTGTTTTTTTTTTTTTTTTTTTTTTTTTGACCATTGTTTTGAGGTCTACTGCATGTTTCTGTGGGATGGTTTGGAAATGCTGGCTTAGACACGGTTAGAATACATGAGCACAATGAGTGCGCGAACGCGTAGGAGCTTTCCACAGAGGCCGTCTGCTCGATGCGCTAACCACGGGTACAGGAACGCATGCGTAACACCGGCAAAATAGCCCCGCATCGCGTTGCAATATTCCAGGGGGGGGGGGGGGGGGGATGAAAAAAAAGAACGCTCACATTTCCTTATTGTCTCTTATTTATGCAGAGATTTATTATTCTTTTCAAGCAACAAATACATAAACTATGCATGCAATATTAAATTTTTGCCATGTCATGTGCCACTGTTGACAACGTTACAGCATATTCATCTACGTAGAGGACCAACGTCACTGCATTGCAGTGCATGTAGGGCCATTCATACGTGCACGTCATGCCCTCATTCTCTGGGCGGGCACCCACAAAAAGGAAGGGGGAGCAGCGTTCATCTAGAAATTTGACCCATTTCCGCAGCGCGTAGCATTGCAAATGTGGCAGACGTGATCAACGCCTTATCTAGCAACATTTCACCGAAATAATTGAGCTTAAGTGCGATTGAGGTTATGTACGGAAATTCTCATTGCTGTCACTATCTTCTTGTAGAATCGTCGCAACGGTGCTGTCGCACTTGTAACTACCAGATCAGATAGCCACCTCCAAAATTAATTTTTCTTGTGGCTGATTACCTGTACGTGGACATGACGTACAAGACCAGTCATTGCCTCATCAAGGTGAAGGTTGTTTAATTATTACTTGTGCCTGTCACTGACTGCACTATTGAAAAAGTTCATTTCGACTTACTGGCATTTGCGTTGGAATTATTGCTATTAGCGGTGCTCCCATGTGAAGTGAACATTACTACTTGTGACGCGGCGGTAGATCACCCCAGCACCTCACACAAACCATGATTTAGGACTACAAAATCCCTGGAGACTGTTGAGAAGAAACATGTACACATATGATCCGAGTATCCTGAAATTTTTGTAATCGTGTGGCAATACAATTTCATTTATTTTCCGAATATGATAGATTATTTGCAGATGCAGGTGCAACTTTCACGGTAAAGCGCAATGTATTTAATGAATCGGAATGATCCTAATTTCATTTGTGTTGCTTTGGCACACACACCGTATGTTCCCATCCCAGAGTGTCTATGCCTAGTTGTAATTATGTTAGCACCACTTGGCATATTTTCTTGTAGCACCCATTTCTTGGTGTACGCAACGAAAGCAACAATTTTCACAGTAAATCTACCATTTGAACGAGAGTCTGCGTATCCTAAGCTAAATTAGGCAAACTTTCAACAGCCTTGATAACTTTCACAGTAATGAAGCCTATCACTTTGTATCTTGAGAGGTTTACATGGCCTAAGTGAGGAGTAATCAGCAACATATAGCTAAAGAGCGGGTACGCGGCGGGCGCAGAGAAAGGAGACAAGCGGCGGCAAAAAGGCGTGTCCTTGCCGAGACGTCACATAGCCGCAACGGCAGCGACGCCATTGTTCGTTCTATGGAGTATGGAGGGATGACTACCACTGTAGCTCAGAGGTAGAGCATAAAACGTGTTATTCAAAAATCTTAGGTTCTGTTCCTGCTGGCAGCAAGTTATCTTTTGATCTACTTTGCCTTCTTCATTTACATTGAAATAACTTCTAATAACATACCCTATACTCTACTTGGCATCATTGTCTGTTACTTCTTATTAAAATATTGTATCTAACAAAGAAAACAGGCCCTTCATTTAGATTTCTTTCTTTTGTACAGCACACTATAATTCGAACTTGAGAGGACCTTAGGGTTTTGTTTTAAAGGACTCCTGACACCAAATTTGGAAGCTTGAGATGCTTGTGCAAGAGTCCTGCCTGTGGGGACACTTCAGATCTATTATTAGTGACGAGCGTTGCCTTTAAGATATCTTCATTTGGCTTTGAAGTAAAGGGAAACAAAGTGCTCATCTGAGTTGTCAACACTGATCAAAATTTTCCTGGTTTGACATGGACGCCCTGCGTGAAGTTCCACGAGTAAAGAGAGTATTGTCGACGTCAGCGACTTATTGGGACGCATACAATGTCCCTTCACCACTAGCAACCAGCAAGAACGATTGTTCGTCATCCCTCTCTCTACATCATTGCAGTGTGGCCAGGCATGTTGTCCGGCAACATGCCTGGCCACACTGCAGCAGGAGATTGCAAATGATCATGCTGGAGTGCAGATGGCGCCAAAACGACGAAGAGAAAACTGGAACTGATGGCGAAATTGAGATGAAGTTACAATGGCGCCTGAGAAAACCTTGACGCCGGAAGTGGATTCCCCGTTGATCGCGAAAAAAGAAAAGAACGGCAACAGTATTATCATCATGTTAAGCAGCCTTGCAGCGACACCATGAGGGGGTGACACAATCCCATCGTCGACAAAGGCGTAAGCCGCTCGACCAAGGCGTAATTCGGAGCGTCAAGTACGCCTACAGGGAGAGGTTGATCCAGCGTCTGCTGCTCAACCTCCGCCACGAGCGTCCCACCGACGTCAACTTGTGCATGGCTTTCGAGGTGGTGGCCGCAGCATGGGTTGTAGCATCCCCGTTGCCGATCGAAAACTGCTTCAAGCACGCGGGCTTCACCACCGCCGTGCAAGCATTGCGCTTCGGCCGCACCAGACGAATTTGGACGAAAGTGCACTTGACGATGAGAGTGGTGGCAGTGCAGTGCCTCTATCCCTGACCAATGCCTGGGAAAACTTCGAGCCATTGACATCAACATCCTAGATGAACTCACTGTTGATGCGTTTGTTGGCGCCGATGACGACGTAGTCGTGTACAAGGAAGTGACCGACGAGGCCATTATCGAAAGCGTGCGCGAAGCTGATGACACCGAGGACCAAGAAACACATGC